TGACGGAAAAACAGCGTATAATAGTAATAATAATAATAATAATAATAATAATAAAAATAATCATATTTTTTCCCCTCTTGATAGGCCAATGTATGATATATTATAATATTCTACCAATATATTGATAAATCACCGTAGTTATGTTATATATTATTCATCGTGGGTCCCGATCGTCGTCGTCTTTCCGGAAACCCGTACACGGGCGCCGTATTAACATCTATTATACATACGCTCATATATATATATATATATATATATACGTGAATACCTATACGCACATTCGTGTAAATATAATACGACGAGAAGGGCGTGTCATCGTTTTTGGTTATGTGAATGCGGTGAGATGGTAGCGTGAAAAGGGTGTACGTGGAACGATTTATCAGCGAGATAGAATTCGAAGCCGAAAACCATTAGAATCAATCAAAAGTATACACAGTCGTAGTGCCGTGCCGTGTGGGCGGGCGGCAGAGGAACATAGAAGTACACAGTCGCACACTCGCTTGGGAAACTCTCAGTACGATTTTCTGTGGTGGTTTGGTGACGTCGGTGAGACGGTGGTTGGGGGGAGGGAGCAGGTTCGAAAGCGATCAAACACGTCTGCGGGCAAAACTGTCTCACCGCGAAAACGTCGAGCGATCGGCCGCGCGTGCGCTCTTTCGCGAGGAGACGGCGAGCTTCACAAATACACACCACCCCCCCCCCCCCCCCCCCACACACACACACACGCACACGCACACGCACACACGCACACATACAAATGTTATTCGGAAAGGTGGACGGGCGTGGGTGGGAATAGACGCGTACAACGAACTCGTAACGGACGGTCGACAATTATTCATCGCGCGGCGGCGGTTTAAGGGTGTTTCAGGCGCATTGCCGCCGCGCGCGCGTCACCTGTCCCACTTGTGCCAAACCAAATGTGTTTCTCTTGTCGTTCACGTTCCGAGTGCATTAACGCACACGTTCTCGCACACGCACGTCGACAGTGTGGGCATCACTTCGACCTGGGCCGCCGATCGCGCCCGCTGACTGATAGACGGAAAGCCAGCAGGCGGCGGCGGGAGCGGTGGAAAGGGTTGTTATTCGTTCGCTGCGAGTCTGCGACTGTGACAACAGCGGCGGTGTGACGTATTGATTGTTCAATTTTACACTATGCCACCCACACGGTCCAGAGTACCAATAACATATTATTATATGCCTATGCCAATGCCTATGCCGTCGAATCGATATAGGTACCAGCCTACCCACACTCCTATTTAACTGTATCATTATCTATTACGTGTCGTGATAACGGATTGTTGACTGCCGTAACACTCGTCTATTATATTATTACGAGTTTATTGCCTACTACTCCATCGTGAGGAGGTATTATATGTATAGGTACATATTATTATTAAGTCGTATGTATAACATTACATGACGGTGATCGTATATTATACGATAATACATTGAACCGGTTTCGTGTCGTACACACGGTTATACGTTTAATGTAAAACGCTCATTATTTAAGGTAACACTAGTTCATGAAAATTATTTTTTTTTTAGATAATTGTTGCGAAACAACATTTTTGGGAAAGAAATTATATTTTTACCATTTTTTATCATTATAATTTTACTCTTTTGAAAAGCGGTTTATAGATTGTAATGCAGAATACTATTAGAAATAGTTTAATTTATAACAATCAATTTTTTTTATTACTAGTTTATTAGTTTCAAGTACTTATTTAAAGTTTTTATGAGCGGAGTAGTGGACCAACCTCTGCCACTTCACACCACTCATCAAACTTTAAATACTTCTAACTCATCAATTATTCATAAAAATTCGATTTTTATACATCCAAGTACTCTGAAATATATTTTGCTTCAAGGAACTAAATATGTATATTTTCATTAAAACAAGTAAACATCTTAATAAATTATAATGATAAAAATTATAAAAAATATAATTAAAAAAAAAAAAAATGTTGTTTTATTTTTGGACGATTTAAAATTATTGTAAAAACAAAATACTTTAAAAGACGTTAATAGTTTTTGAAATAACAAGTGTTATGTTAAATAATTCGCTTAGTGTATAATACCTGCGTTTAAGCTTAACCAAAATAGACCTCCTTAAATCTGTATTGTATTTATGACCGTAATTATATAATATTACTAGGTCACTGAAATTTAAAGTAAATTTATTTATATTTATACGATTATTATACATCTTGTACTGAAACTATAGTGCGCGTTTACTCTTTCTTAATTGGTCGTACAAAAACTTTATACTAAATATTAAAAATAAAACCTCATTTTTCTTAACTACGGTCTACGGTTAAATTAAATGTAAGTTGAAATTTTGTTTTCTGAGTCGAGCACCCTACTGGGTAAGTCTGAAAATTTTAAAAACCATAGGTAGTAGGTAAAAAATCTCTGAGTATTGATAAATCGTATGGTATAATAATATATATATGTGTATACATAAATAATATAAATGCACATAAGCCCTATGATAAGGATGGTAGTAGAAATGGAAAATATATTTTAATAGGTATCCAAAATGAAAATATTACGATCGAAAGCTATCATGCTTAAAATTGATTTTTATCACAATTTAACTGGAACGAAATGGAAATATTATAAATATACTATATTATATCAAGATTATTATTTATTTATATTTATGTATGTATGTATTGTATATAGATACTCTTCAACTCACGAGTAAAAATTAAATTATTTTAACTTTTAATAATATTATTGATTAATTTATTTAATTAAATTATATTTTACACGCCAATTTCGCACAATAAATAATAATACGTTTTAACTGCAATCAAATTAATAAAGGAATGAAATAATTATAGTTTGTGCAATTTAACCTTTGTATTGAGATATCAAATTTTTGGGCGAACTTTGAACACATTCATTTTTTAACCATATAAAAATAATTTGAGAACCCCATTTTTCGCATTTTTTTTATTTATAGAAAATAACTTTTATCCAACTGTGGTCGCAACCATCAATATATTGATATATAGATATGCTTAATGAAATTATAAAACTATCAATAAATTACAATTTAAAGGGCAAACTTTAATAATCTGTTAAAAAATTAAAATAAATCAAACATAATGCAAATACAATTTTGATGTTATTAAAAGTTTAAAAATCAATATACAATATGATATTTTGTATAATACCATTGATTAACTTAAAATTTAAATTTCACTTCAATATACAGCTTGGTTTATGAAACGCAATATTATTTAATCTTTCTCATCATCTATTCATTTTATATGGTAATTATTTTATCGGAATGATGAATTTTTTAATAAAATCGTATTATTTTCAAATGAATAAAATATATTATAATAAGTACTATATGCATTTAATAATATGAGTAAAACTCGTATTTTTATCATTGTTTTTAATATTAAATATGGCAATTTATTAACTATAATAATATATATATATATATATATTATATAGTATCTGGTAAAATCGATTACCACTGGATTAACCGGCTGGGTTACACACTGGTTAGAAAGCACAATATAAATTCAATTTTTTATTCATTGAAATTTTTTTTCTTTTTTTTTTTTTATCTAAGTCACCTTCTTTTGTGGTTTTGGGTCGCAAACACGTATTCAAAAATCTCCGAGTGTCGTGAACCGAATATAATTCGCTTTGTCCGCCGGTCGCTGTCTGACCGTCGCCTGAGTAATTGTCTGAAATATTATTTACGCGAGTATAAGACAGTTACAAAAAATAAAAACTATCTCATACAGTCCCACAAATCATAATATACGTAGGTACCTATACACAAATATACAATATATTTTACATAATATACGCTGGTTTGAATGGTGCGTCACATTGATGGCGTTTCATAAATTCTCATAAAATACGATTTGTAGCGCGGTGTATGTGTATGTGTTTAATCTTGCGTTAAAAATATCATCGATCTCATCAGTGGTTCGGTGCATACACTATAGAGGGCATAAGAACGCACGTTTTGTGAGTGCATATAGTTTGTGTGTATATGTTGGGAAGAACGGGTATAGAGAAATTTCCTGGTCACAATCGATTTAAAAAAAAAAAAGTAAATAAATACATGTATATAATATATAACCCCTTTCTCCCATTGCATCGTGATTAAATCCACCTCGTCGCCAATTTTTTCCTCCGCCAGAGAAAAAGTTTATATATATATATATGTGTGTGTATAAATAGGGTTGTTGGGTTAGTAGACGGAAAACGTATATATGTATAATAAATAATATAAAGTGGAAAAATTCTGCATCGGTACGCACGCCGATGAAGCATTGAGATCGCTTTGCCGATCGTACGGATTTCCCGTCCCGTTCGATTCCGGGTGCGATGTGATCTAAATAATAAACGGGTCCACATTACCATAATATTGACCTAGGTGGCGGTGGCAGGAGGAATGATATTCACTCGGTGCCGCGTATACAATATGTGTGTACGTCGAGCAGAATGTTATGTAAATAATATTATTATATATAAAATATATTATACGGGCTGGTTCAGCAGCACGCGTTTGCCTGCCGGGGGGGTGTAGGTAGTGTATTATGATAGTGAGGGTATAGGAAGAGGATTGAGGGATTGAAAAAGTAGTAATAATAAAAAAAAAAAAAATAATAAAGAATGTAGTTGTATTAGGTATTATTGTTATTTTTATTATTATTATTATTATTATTATTATTATTATTATTGTAATATGAGGAGTGTAATACATAATATAATAGGTATGTCTATAAGTATAGGTACAAATATTACTAATATTACTACCACTACTATACGCATTTTATCATAATGAGAAGTTCTAAGTCATACGATTTTCTGGGCAAAATATAAAACTAAATTGTTTTTTTGTTTTTTGTTTTTCTTGTTTTTTTTTTTTTTTTTTTTTTTTTTTATATATATAAATAAAAATCTTTAAATAAAATCATTGTTGTGAGCATAGTTGTGATTGTACGTTATAAATGGGGTTTCAGCCGTGTTGCTGTAGCTGATCAGACCGCTGGAAACGAAAACGAGCTGAAATATGTGTCAAGGTAGGAAACATATTAACGGAATAGGTTTTTTGGAGTGTGTTTTGTGATTATTACGATACCGGGAAATTCAATTAGCTATACCATTAATACGAAAAATATAGACAACTGATCATTTTACATACCAAACGTAATCATTTATATTATAAATGGATGAAAATAATAATATTTAATATCCGTGTATATACACATCATAATTTACCTGTGTGTGTATATAAATGTATGTATTACTTATATCGATTTTAGCTAATCGAATATTCCTGGCATTTTGTTTATAGCTAATTTTTGTATGGTTTTTTAAAACAAAATTAATTAATATTTTATTATTTTTGTTGTTAATATTTAGTTGGGATGTTTTAATTTATTGGTGTACCGTTGTGTATTTAGAATATTGATTGTTTTATGTTCGACCCGCATATTAATATCGCTTTGGTGTATTTTATTTTAATGAGCTGCCACATTGATTTGTTTTTTGTTTTATTATTATTATTTAAAATACTATTAAGTTATTAATTTTTCTAATTATATTTTTTTATGCTGTACTTCACATATAAGTAACATCTCAATACTTCGCGTAATATAAATATTATATTCTTGTCAGTGCATGGTTTTTTTTTTATTTTTATTATTATTATTATTATTATTATTATTATTCATTGCCAGTTCTTATAACATATTTTATTACTGATACGATTATTTATTTAAATTTAATTATTTCAATATTAAATAAATTGTGTTTGATGGGGTTTCCTAAATTGAAAGAAAATACATGATTTAAGAGGATGATGTAAAAATATTTTGACATTGATTAACTTTGATCACTGCTATTTTGATATTAATGTATGTTAAGAAATCCTCAAAGTTAGATAATAAAGCAATCAAATTATTAGTACGTATAGCTGTTGCTCTTATAAGTATAATGGTGTATTTAAAAGGTTATAGATACATTTATTTGGTTTCTTTAAATGTTTTTTTAAGTTTTTTGTAATAATCTAGACACATATAAGTGTAAAACATTTATTTTAAATACTAACCACGTTAGGTATTATACATAAATTAAAAAAAAAAATGTTCGTTGTTGTCTCTACATCAAATAATTAGATTTAAGTATTGCAAAAGTGTTAATTTAATGTTTACAATGATTTTACTTAAATGTTCTTATATTGGTGTAATATATTGATGGGTTGTGAAGTTTAAAGGTATTAAAGAAAGAATACAGTTTAAGCGGATTTTTTCTTTTAAATATACACATTACGAGTATATAGAGATATAAATTCTTCTTTAGTTGTAATGTAATTATTTTATTCAATGAAAAATTTAGTATTAAGTGTCTTGTCTTGTAGAATTAAAAATTCAATGACGTTGTTTTTCTTGATTAATTGTTAGTTTAAGTGTTGTTTCTGGTACTTACTATTTATAATTAATTCATAAAATATCATTATTCTGTTATCTCTCTTGACATTGTTCCTTGAAAATCCAATCTACTTTATGATAAAATATTTCATAAGTTAATTATAATTTAAACCCAAATATTAATAGTATTACAGTAATACTAAAAATTATTTCAATGTGTATATTAAATTGTTGCTAAATATGTTTAATCATCTTAGTAATATCAAATGATAAAATAAAATATTGGATATTTAGTTAAAAAATGTTCCTATTTAATAAATTTAAAATATAAATATTCAAATTCAAGGATAAATTATATCAAACATTATATATATATATATATATATATATATATATATAAATTACATTAAAATTTAACGCAGAATCTAAGAATACATAAAATATACAAATTAATTCATAGAAAAAAAGTTGAGAAATTAACAATTTAGTGTAACATACTATTATAGTTTATAATATAACAACACGATATGTAATTTGTATAAGCATATTTTTTGTCTAAGCTGCATCATAATCATTGAAGATGTAATCATTTGATTTATAGTTTTTAATTAAACAATAGTTCAATATAGATAGCTAGGCAAGTATAGATATTCCAAATGGGTTTTAATTATACTAAAAGTGGCATTTATCGTCGGCTGAAAAAAATTGTTTTTAATCAATATTATTAAATCATATTGTAATTTATAATATAGTGACCCGAGTTATTTTGTGTACACGTAACACTACGTCGGCTTTTATAAAATTATGTATCTACGACGTAGGTCCTACTATATACAAAGTTGGACCAGAAATGATATATATATATACGTATCTATGTTTAGTATATAATATATTTTAATAATATTGTGGTATAAAAAAGAAACGTTTTTGTGTGATACAATATGTTATATATAATGTGTGTGGTAATAATAATAATACTTGTTATAACGATGGTAATAATAATAATAATAATATGATAATATTTTGACCTGGGGTTTTTGGTTATCACGAGGGCGGACGACAAAGGGGGTCATGTAGACGTTTTCATTAACATAATATATATAATAATTATTATTATTATTATAAATACGGCTTTTGTTGCCCTCGAATGGTGATGTTCAGCCGTTCAGGCCGATTGGTGGTAAGTAGGAGGGTTACTTGGGCAAGAAGTAAAAGGGATCTTGCGGTGATGTTCGAATTTAATAGCGCGCCAAGTTACCACGTAATCTAGTTCGGATGTGCGAGAACGGTTTCCTCGACGGTGGTAACGTTTTCACAAATAATACGTTCCATGCTAAAACTGAACATAAATCAACTGCTTCGCCCCGTTTGCAGCAGCTCCTCGCGTGTGTTCTGCCACCGTTGCACAAGTCTCTTACACCCTCTCTCACCCTCTTAACCCACGCACCACTCTCTTTACCAACACCCTCCCTACCTACATTCTCTCCGCCCCTTTGCGTTCTGCTTTGTATATGATTTAAGGTTCAAACCCTTTATTATATATGGTTTTGCGTCCTATGTATTATGTTATACATCTCACCGTCGTTTGATTTGCCACGTAGTCCTTTACTTTTTGTACTAACCACGTATTAGCTCGCGTACCATGCACTAAAGCCGACAACGGTCAGTTTTTATGACGACATGGAATTTACGCCCACGTTGTAACATAAGTCTGTTATTTGGACGGAAATCCTATATGCAACTGCAGAATCCACTGTCTACGCTATTTTCACTATAGCCGTCATCCAAAAAACAAAACATCAGACCTTAACTGTCATCAAAAATAATACAAATAGTATGGATATATAGTTGTGTTAATGGGTGGACTAGGAATAATAATTATTAAAAATTCATTAATACTTTTGAATAACATAATATATTATAGATACTTTTTGAGTATTAAGTTTTATGTTTATAAATAATATAAATAATTTTTTTTTTTAACAGTTATGTTATTTATAAAAAAATATTAATTACAATATTCGAGATTAAAGGAAGTTTACGAATCTATTAAGATGATATTTGTTTCAAGTTTATTGTAATTGGTTTTTGGAAAATTGACTAACAATAAAACTAATTTATTTAAATATTTTGTTAAATGAATGTATAGAAAGTTATTATACTTTATGTTTTTATAGTTACTGAACAATAAACGTTTTAATTACATAAAATGTAGAATTTTTAAAACTATTTATTTAATTTCGAAGTTTCTTTACTGGATTCATTCTATGAAACATATGTTTTTTTTCTCATCACATTTACTTAATGTTTCACTTATTTGATAAATTGTTTAACAAAAAATATTAAAAAAAAAAAAAAAAAACTTATTTCATAAATAAATTATATTTTTAATTTAACATTGTACTTAACATTTTGATTTCTGTTGATATTTTGTGTTGATATAGAAATTAATTATACTAATTTTTTGTTATATTTATATTTAAATTTGTATTTTATACTTAATACCAATGTTTTTATTAGAATATAAAATAAAGCTTGTACTGGTGAGAAATTTGATTTTAGTTAGATGTAAGAGTTAATCAAAGAAATTGTAACCTGAAATGTGAGCAGAGTGATAGATTAAATATTCAAAGTAAATTGCGTGAGGGAATGAAGGAATTATGGAAGATGTTTTAAATTTAACAATATGTATAAATGTTAATTTTAAATAGAGATCATGTATATCGTGAGACAAAATATTATAACTGAGATTAACTGGTATACATATAAATAACATACAGCTGCTGTGTCGTAAGAAAATGTAATATGTAAAATTCAAAGTTAATACGAAGATATGCATTGTAAAGTGTTAATAAAATGAATACAATTTATCATAATATGATATTATAATTTATAGAATATGTATAAATAATATCAATAATATATAATTTAAAAAAAAAAGCAATAGTAATTTATTTAAAACGAAAATAGTTACAATTAATAACAGATCAGAAAAATTTAAAAAAATTAATAATTATAATTTAAAAGGACGCTGCACCCGTATGTGTTATCTCTGTTTTACATACATACAACATTATTAATTTTCGTTCAGCAGAATCCGTTTTATGTTGCTAGCTTTAACATTAGAGTAAATTTACTTATTATCCAACTTAAAGGTAAGAATTTTATCTAGGCAATGATATAGAATTTTATGGATATTTTAATATTAAGGCTGAGTGATAGCTATATAAAATAATGAAACTTTAAAATGTTCATAACTTACTTTAAAATTATAATATTAATAAAAGCCTATGTCATTGTCTAGATAAAATTTTTACATTTAAGTTTGATATTTGGTAAATTTACTTTAATTTTAAAGCTAACAATATAAAATGGATTCTGTTGAACGAAAATTTGCTATGTTGTTTGATGTAAGACAGATACAACACATGCGGGTGCAATATTCTCTTAATTATTAATACGAGTATTTAGTATAATGTACAAAATATTAATTAAATTTACTACAATAATATAAGATCTTCGAAGAAGGTTATTTTTTGTAAAAATAAAATGTGTGTGTTGCTTTAAATATGTATAGAAATACAACTTATAAAATGTACTGAAAATAGCATTACTGAATATTTTAAATTATTTGAATCAAAGTTATTCTATTAAATATCTGGAGTTATGGCTTAGACAGTATTTTATGAAGATAATTCTTATTACTTAAATTGCATGGGGTTAAACTGAGGAGGAGAGCTGAAAGGAATACAAATATATATACATTTTATAGATTTTGATTAAAAATATTTTCGACAGCTTTTAATAACTATTAATTTGTTTACAGGGGATTCGGGTTCGTTACTTTTGCAGATCCGTCTAGTGTGGACAAAGTTTTGGCTCAAGGATCACACGAGTTGGATGGAAAAAAAGTAAGTAAAACAATTTTTTTTTTTTTAATTATTTATTTATCTAGTATTAAAATTTTAAAGACACAAAAGCATAAACATAATAAAAGTACAATATTTTCAATCAATGCGAAATATTCATTTAAATTGTATAGGTTTAAAAGTAAGTTAGTTTAATCGGTTAATTATTTGTAATGTCTCCTTAAACACTTATTCACCTAAAAATACAATAATATTGTTTTTAAAAAATTAAGTATATTTATATAATATAATAAATATTATTATTTGTTAATATATCTTAAGTTTAAATTATAAAAAAATCAAATTATTTTAAGATCAAAACCCATCAGATAAAATTTACATTATACATTCTGCGAAAACACAAAATGAGCATTGGTAATCCCATTTTATTTATTTTCATTCATTTTTTTTGTACTTGCAAATTGCTTATTTAAAAATACAATATTTTCCCGATTGCTATCTCGGAAGGTTTTTATATTCAATATGACAAAATAATGATGTCGATGGAAACCAAAAAAAAAAATAAATAATTTTAAAATAAATCTATATACAAACTGCTGTTGTATGTTTTTTTTTTCAATCGTAGTCTCTCGTATTTTGTTTTTTGATTGTGGATTATAGTTAATCTCATTTGTTTCTGTTGGTGTACCAAAATCCATAATAAAAATCAACAATAAATAAGCTAATGAAATTATATAATGTGAGTTTGTATATTATTATTTAATGATCACTGAGAGAGATAGCAAGCCGACAAATATATATTGGCACTATTCTCGTGTAACTTTAGTTAAGTATTTATATACTCGTCGGTAGAGTTAGGTTAGCAATTTCGCCTGAAATCGGATTATAACGCCACCACGCCTCTCCATGTAATGGAATAAGATTCGTAAATTAAAAATCGAAACTGTAATCCACGTTTAATATAAATGACGTTTATACCTAATTGAACAGCGATAGTGATTTTAATAAAACGTGCGTAACGCTAGCTGCCTTGAAATATTATTTTTTGAGTTATCCATGGAAAGAGAAAAAATAATTAAATGTTAACATGAAAAAACTTAATAGAGCCGTAGATATGTATATGAATATAAAATGTTGTACTATAACAATGTGTATTATAAAAACACAAATATTATATACATCATCACAGCGTTACTTCGATTGCAATTCAATAGCCATGGTGGTTGGGGTGGATAATTCGAGCTGTCCCTTTTTCAGGTACGGCGGGTGGTGGTGATGGACCAGTTTATGGAGCTATAGTAGGTGTAGAGGGTGAGATTAGCTCGTTTAAGTAAAGACCCGGCTGGCAGCCGCCACTTTGGCACTATGTTCTCGCATACAACTACGCTCGTCTCATCGTCGCCGTGGGAATTTCTTCACGTGACGGACTGGCGACTTTCCGGCCGGTTTGATCCCCACCCACCAACACACCCGTCACCCATTCCTTTTGTCGTTGTCGTATATTGTTTTCTTCTTCTTGTCCTTCTCTGCTCGCCATAGTTTCAGCGATTACCACCACTACCACTTTACGTCATTCTGCACTCGTTTTTAATCATTGTTTCTTTTTGTTCAGTTTAGAAAGCTGCTGCTTGCCTTTTTTTTTTTTTAGACACAAGTGTTTTCTCTTCACAGTCTATTACCAGTGTGGAATAATACCATTATTAAATACAGTCGAAGATTTTTAATACATTCGAGTATAGAGCCATCGAAGCGCCTCATTGATTCTTTAAAACCTACCCTTCTATCCTCTCCGTGGTTATTCGCCAGATGAGTGCGTTGTTATGAGTGATTTATTAAGAGCCTTTAAAAATAATAATGAAATCTCGGTATATATTTAAGAACTATAAAGTCATATTTAGTAGGTATTTAAAATACACAAAAATACAAAATAGTACTCGATATGATAAGTTAATTCACAAAACTATTAACTTATGACTTTTCGTTGATTTATATGTATGGATATACATTCATATAAAATACAACTACATATAGTACTTACGATTCATTTTAAATTATAAATTATTTATACGTTCCATTTTCAACTGTATTGTATATGTACAGGGATTGGTTTAATTAAATATGTTATCAAAGAAATTATTTGAAAGGTCTTTTAAAAATTGTGAACTTTGTGTTACTACATTTAAACTATGCTATCAACCATGAGTTGACGGTTCATTTATAATCAGTGGTTAATCTGAAATGGACATAAATAGATTTATTTTGAGAAAACCTTGTAGCATGACCAAGTGATTGAATGCCATAGACATTCTATATGTTATATACAGCGAAATTGATAGAATAGTATAACAGTTTATAGGTATTATATTATACTGGAATTTATTTTTATTTTTATTATTCATATATAATATATTAATTACTAGCTAGTAGTAGTACTGCGTTTTATAATTTAACTTAAATACATTTATTGAATTATTAATACCAAATAATTCACCATACTTAATAAAAATATTAAAACAAGTTTTTAATAAATATGATAAGAATAATAAAAAAAATTACATTTTTGAAATATGAAAATAATCTAAAAACGCAGTTATATGAAATTACTGTTGAAATGTATTTTATTAAATATTATGTAATTAAAAAATATTTTTTTAAATTAGGTAATTATAGTTTGTAGGTATATAAAATTATAATAATTGATAATTATAATAATTTATCAATATTTTTATAAAATGTATTTTTTCCCATAAGTAGGCGAGACTGATTTAGACCAAAAACATATCCTTCCCTTTTCGGCCGATTCACTTTTTGAACAAATTTAAAAAAAAACACCGATTCCCTTTTCGGCCGAAACAAAATTGTATATAATATATGTAAAAAATAAGATAATTGGTACACAATTTTCGTAAATTAGGGCAATTTTATAAGTATTAAAAATGATTAAAAGTATAAAATGCATACAATGTTGTAAAATAAAATGTGGACAATTATTTAAAATATAATAGTACTCGTATCAATTATTTAAAATATAATAGTACTCGTATCTATAAATTAACATTATTTTTATGTCAATATGTCACAGTATATAATATATGTAAAATATTATATAAAAAATTAAAATTTAAACTATATGAATAGGTTTGTGACATATTAACATAAAATTAATGTTAATATATCTATATTATTATATTTTAAATAATTTTCTATACTTCATTTTACAATATTTTATGCATTTTATAATTTTATAATTTTTTAAGTTATATAATTATATAATTGCCCTAATTGTATGAAAATTATATACCAATTATTTTATTTTTTTACATAATATATTATATAAAATTGTATTTTGGTCGTAAAGTGAATTGGCCGAAAAGGGAAGGGTACGATTTGGGTCAAAAACGGCTATGCCCTTATAAGTATTAGTTAAAAATATTGATAGATTATTATTTATTAAATTTTAATTCTCTATACACAATAATATATTTTGTGATTTATGGGTTAATTATTAAGTTATAATTGCATGGTATATTAAACAACCATTTAAAAAAAATATTTATTTGATTAATTAACTTTCTTGTTTTTATTTTATTATAAATCAGTACAATATTTTATACAAAAACAGACAAATTTCAGGAATTTGGCTTGAGATATTTTACTATTAAATATATGTATGGACTGAAATATACAGTAATTTATAATAATATGGTAGAAGAACAGTTTGGATTAAGTGGTTATGTTTTTGAAATCGAAATGGTTTAGTATATGATACGTGAGATGATTATCGGGTAAGAGCCATCAGGAAGATGCGACTGGGTTGGAAAAAGCTGTCGCTATTGCACGATTGCGGGGGTTGACAAACTGTTAGACGTTCTCAAATCTAATTGGAGCTGGTATGTAACTCCGTCCACCGATGGGCCAAATAGTAGACGGGTGTTACGAACAGATTGATGTGAATAAGAAAAGAAGAAAAGTCAAAGTGGTGAGCTAGAAGGAAAAAATATAGGGTCTTACCAGAGTCCGAGAGATCAATTAATTAAAAGAGACACATGGTGACTGAGACGGGGTAGTAGAAAAAAAGAACGGTGGTGGCGAGAAGCTGCAGGTTTTTGAGAGATAGTAATTCATTTGGTATTTCTCAGCGTGGAGGGGAAGGGCGCAAGAGAGATTATCCTATACGATTGTATGGTAGCGAGGCGACCGTATGACGTTGTTCAGAGTCACGGTCGATTATTACCACACTGACGGTAGTGGTAGTGATGTCACCCTGCCGTAGAAACGACAGTTTGATTAAAAAACCCACCTCCACCCTTAGATACATGAACTTTTGTAGACTAACCTTTACTTTTTTCCCGTTCCCTCGACCATCGTTTGGGTTCTATACCCACCCTGCAGTTACCAAATGTCACACAATCTGGTGCTGGCAATGGGAAAAATGACATTTGTTATCAACTACCTTTTACCTATCTACATTCACTTTTCGTTAATAATAACTTATTATATCTAAGAGTGACTTTTATATCGGAAATTGATTTTGTTTCACCACCATTGGGCATTTAGACTCGACTGACAAGTTTTCATTTGTGAAAATTGCAAAAAAAAAAAAATATATAAATATATATATTGACTAACTCAACGTAATTTCCCCACTATATTATTATTATTATTATTATTATTATTATTATTATTATTATCTTTTTAATTAAATACAAATCCATTTCAAGATAAAACGAATATAAAAAACAGCCTATTTCCTTCCAACTATTTGCCATGGATACATTGATTATGCCCGAGTAAACTACCAAGTTTTTACCCTTTACAATAATGTAAAGAATTTCAAAGTATTTTTTCCTACCCCATTTTCAAGTTGAATACTATAATGATTGTCTTGATTCTTGGTAATCGATATTATTCCTACATTATTTATTCAATTTAAATCATTAACCTTTATAGTTTAAATATTCAAATATTTTTTTTTTATTGTTAAACTTGATTTCAATAAAAAAAAAAAAAAAAAAAAAATCATAGTATTAATAAATCTAATG